TGAAGCAACCTTGGCGGCCTCGCCTGCAGCCTTGGCTTCCGTGGCAACCTTCGCGGCAGCCTCCTCTGCCGCCTCGGTCTCCTCGGCAGCCTTCTCGGCAGCCTTGGCCTCCGCGAAAGCCTTCGCCGCTTCCTCGACTGCCCTGGCATCTGCTGCAGCCTTTGCCGATTCGGCATTCCTCGCCGCCTGCTCGGCCTCCTCGGCCTCCGCGGCAGCCTTCGCCGCCTCCGCTGCCGCCTTGACCGCCGTGGCAGCCTTCTCGGCAGCCTTGGCCTTCGATGAAACCTTAGACGCCTCCTCCGCGGTCCTGGCATTCGATGCAGCCTGTGCCGCAGCGACATTCCCCGCCGCCTCCTCGGCCTCCCTGGCCTCCGCGGCAACCTTCTCAGCCAGTTCCGCGGCCCTGGCCTCTGAAGCAACCTTGGCGGCCTCGCCTGCAGCCTTGGCTTCCGTGGCAACCTTCGCAGCCTCCTCTGCCGCCTCGGTCTCCTCGGCAGCCTTCTCGGCAACCTTGGCCTCCGCGAAAGCCTTGTCCGCTTCCTCTGCCGCCCAAGCATCTGCTGCAGCCTTTGCCGCTTCAGCACTCCTCGCCGCCTCCACGGCCTCCTCGGCCTCCTCGGCAGCCTTCGCTGCCTCCGCTGCCGCCTTGACCGCCGCGGTAGCCTTCTCGGCAGCCTTGGCCTTCGATGAAACCTTAGATGCCTCCGCCGCGGTCCTGGCATTCGATGCAGCCTGCGCCGCTGCGACATTATTCGCCGCCTCCTCGACTGCCCTGGCCTCCGCGACAACTTTCGCAGCGTGTTCTGCGGCCCTGTCCTCTGAAGCAGCCTTGGCGGCCTCGTCCACAGCTTTGGTCTCCTCGGCAGCCTTCTCGGCAGCCTTGGCCCCCGCGAAAGCCTTCGCCGCTTCCTCGACTGCCCTGGCATCTGCTGCAGCCTTTGCCGATTCGGCATTCCTCGCCGCCTGCTCGGCCTCCTCGGCCTCCGCGGCAGCCTTCGCCGCCTCCGCTGCCGCCTTGACCGCCGTGGCAGCCTTCTCGGCAGCCTTGGCCTTCGATGAAACCTTAGACGCCTCCTCCGCGGTCCTGGCATTCGCCGCAACCTTCTCATTGCGGTCTTGGGTGATCGGTGCTGGCGCTGGCGGCGCCACAGCTTTTTCCGCCACGGCTTTCCTCGCTGCCTCTACGGCCTCCGCGGCAGCAGCCGCCGTCTCCTCTGCATGGCGCTTCTGCACTGCGTTGGCGCTGGCCCCCAAGATCTTACGCAACACATCAGCGCTCTCCCCTGAGATCGTCTCGGGCCCGTCCCTGCCCGCCTCGTCCACGATCTGGATGGCAACAGCCGCCCGCAGCAGCGCGGCTACGACCAGGGCCCGAAGAGGAGCCATCATACCAAGCACGTCGTCTCGGTGAAATGAACGCGCAACGGTTGGAGCAGATACGCCCCGTGTGGATGTGAAAGTACGCCGCGACTGATTGAGCTGAAATGGCTGGGGAGGGTCTCCGGAGCCGCCTTGAATGCACTCGGGGCTGGTCACACGAAAACAAGCATGCCCAACACAAGTTGTCCTCGGGTACTGTTGCCATTATCGCTTTTCGGTCTTAAGAGCTTTCGCGACGGCCGAAGTGGCGGCCAAGCGGGCTCCAAGACGGCCCCAAGAAGGGCCAACAAACGCGCCACCGCCAGACCACTCTTGTCGCGTGACTTCTCCGGGCCCAAGACGGCCCCCAAAACGGGGCAAGAGGAGGGCTCCAGGGATCGGGCCGGGCGACAGGGGGGGATAGCAAAGGGGGGGGGGGGTGAGACTCAGCTCACCCATAACTGATTTTCCCGGCGCCGGGAGGTGCCCCTGCATCGAGGAATGGGCCCGGCGGCGGGGCGGAAACCAGCTGCACGCAGCAGATTTCGTCTTTCCCTATCCCCCCCCCTTCCGTCCGGCCCGAAAGGAGCTCCCAGGACGGTCCAGGAGGGCCCCGGCTCGCCGAGCGATCGGTCCAAGGCGCCCCTTAGGTGGCCTCCAGTCGGCCGACGGCGCGCCCAAGTCGCCCCAAGAGGCTTCCAAAGGAGCACCCCCAAAAGGGTCCCAAGAGGCAAGCATCGCCCAATTCTTTATGGAAAGCGTGCGTAGCTTGCAATTGCATATACGACTCTGGAGCTTTCACAGTGTCCAAGACGGCCCAAGAGGCCCTCGAGATCCCAAAACAGCCCAAAGGGCCCAAGACTGCTACGAGGCGCCGAAGACGGCCCAAGACGGGCCCAAGAGGGCCCCAAGAGGGGTCTAAGAGGGGGAGCTCGAAATAACATGTCGAGCTTTCCGCCCCAGTCGTCCCCAGGGAGGCTCCAAGAGGCCCCCAAGAAGCCTCGAGAGGCCCCATAAGACGCCCCAAGAGGACCCCAATATGCCTTATAAAACTGCTTACACGTAGCCCCCGAGAGGCTTCTCGCGATATCCCAACGAACATCCTAGTGGCCTATGACCCACAACCCAGAAACGGTGGCGGGATGGGCCGAAGGCCGTTGGATCCGCCGCCCCCTGTCGATTCATTGCAGGGGTGCCTGGCGTTCTAGACCCTTTCGGTTTTGGTTTTGGTTCTTTTTCCCAAAGAACTCTCCCCCTCGGCCCGTCCCGCCGGCAACCCGGAAAAATCTTCGGGCTTGCCCGGAGGTGGTTGCCCAGGGTTTTTCCTGCTCCAGACGGCTCCAAGACGGCCCAAGATGACTTCCAAGACGCCTCCAAGACGGCCAACATGGCCTCCAAGACGGCCTAAGATAGCCTCGAGATGGTTTAAGACTGCCCAAGAGGCCCCCAAGAGCCCCCCAAGACGCCTCCAAGAGGTCCTCCAGGAGGGCCCGAAGAGGCCAACATCATTGGTTTTCCTTAGGTTTTTGAAGGATTTTGGCATTTGCTTCTTTTCGCCGAAGACCTCAAGACGGCCCAAGAGGCCCCCAAGATCGCCCCAAAATCGCTCACGAGGCCTCCAAGATGGCCCCTATGACGGCCCACGAGGCCTCCAAGACGCCCAAGCTGGCCTCCAAGACGGACCCGAAGCGGCCTAAGAGGGCCCCAAGTCGGTTCAAAGACGGCTCCCGACGGCGCCAGACGGACCAGGAACGCGATAAGACGGCCAAAGAAGCTCCCAAATGGCCCCAAGAGGCCCTCAACAGGCCCCAAGAGAGCCCAAGATAGCCCCAACATGGTCTCCAAGACGGTCCCAAGATGGTCCAATCGAGCCTCAAGAGGCTCCGAAGAGGCATCCACCCCCTTCTCCTTCTTCCTCCTTCTCCTCCTCCTCCCCTTCCTCCCCCCCGCGTTCCCCGAAACCTTTCCGAATCGACTCGGGGAACACGTGGTCCGATAGCTTGGCCAAGCTCTAGCCCAGCTGTCGGACACGTGGGCGCTTCCACAGAGGGCAGGGGGCGGTGGTGATTCGCCGTAGGCGTCGTCGATAAAGGGTCCACCCACATGGGGCTCCACACGCTGGGTTCGCTCCTCCTCCTCCTGCCTTTTTTTGCTGTTGCTTGCGCTCAGCCCTTTGGCCACACGCTTCCAACACAGCCGTGCCCCGCGCAGCCGACGAGTGCAGGGCCCGCGGGCGAGGAAACAGCCATGACGCGCACGCGAGCGGAGAGAGGCACGCGGTGCCCGCCACCCTCCTCCTCCTCCTCCTCCTCCTCCGTGCCGGCGGCACGTTGAGAGGCGTGTTCGCACGCTTGCCGGCTGCCCCGCAGGGCGTCTGCAGCGCCCCCAGGGGGGCCGACCACCGGCAGCGCGTGGGGCCGAGACGCCTCCCCCCCTTGCTTTGCTGTCTCGACCCTCCTTTCGGCCTCCAAGAGCGGTCCCAAGACAGCAAATGGGGCCCAATGATACACACACACACACACACACGCACACACACGCACACACACACACGCGCACACACACACACACACACACACACACACACACACACACACACACACACACACACACACACACACACACACACAC